TAGTGAATCGATAACAATATAGATAAACAGTTTTTTGTAAGAAAAGTCCAAAACGACAAAATGTACATTACACCAACTAATTGATTGTAAATTCCGTCTCTATTATACGCACAACGCTCGCATCGCATATATATGAGACATACGAATTAGTGAGTTATTTATTAATTCTACGCAATGTTACTAAACACTATTTGGTATCATTAAAATAATTTTTTTTAAAACGTTCTACGTCACACCAAAAAAATTGTTATGTTTGAATCATAACCGTTTAACGTAATCTCATATATTATCCATGTCACTAGAACCGATAATGCGACTTATAATAATTGTAGATTATAAATTATGTTAATTATCGAATAGGTAAGTAATAATGTCCGATATCCACCTCTGGCCATCGTTAATAACTATTTAATGATCTGGAATTTATGATTGTTAAATATAACGAAGGCGACAACTTATAATTATTACGTAGTATAAAATAAATGTCAAATAATTTGTAAAAAATTACAAGGGTTTATGTTTAGTCGTGTACCGTATAGCGTATCATTTTTTCGTATCTTTTGTTTAATAAGTTCAACTGTAATACAATGGTAGGTACATAATATATTATACACATTTTGTTTTGCTTCTAAATTAACCGTTGGGATTTCGAATGGTATTTAATTTGAAGATCAACTTTAGTTTTGAAAATGACACAGTGGTAATTTGATATATTATAAGCGGCGTTTGCCACGGTGACATTTAATTTGAACGCACTTCAACATCGCTAGCGGCGGTCCGAGGTGGACATTTTCGTTTTTGTCATGTAACTATATATGTTTAATATAATATTATTAATATGTGACGACCATAAATCAAACGTCTGATGACAAAAAATGGCGGTCAAGTATAACGGCCATGTACCTTCGACCCGCGCGCGCACATTGCAAAATATTTATACATGTATATAGGGATGACTGCAGCCGGCTGCGTGTCTTATGTATATGTACCGTGCAACAGAATGTGTTTGCTTCGTACCCATTTGATAAATTATTGTGCAGCAGTGAAGCGAGCCAGAAATAATGGTAATAATAATAATAATAATAATAATAATTCTAGTTCGTCGGACGTTTTCGTGACGATAAAAATTCAATATTAAAAGCTTTTTGCCGACGAAGGGATATAGATTCGATACCGCAGAGGCACAGCACATAAATACATTATGCACGTAGTTCATTGTTGTTTAGTAACGTGTAAGCCCCGTTTCGGGATAAAATTTTAATTAACTTTAGGGAAATTCTGGAAGGACGGCTGAGCACTGTGCGTGCTAACCGGAGGAAAAAAAACCGCCTGAACATAATGTATACATACATATTATAACTATGCCGAACTCACCGCAGCAGCAATATATATATATATTATATACCTATACTGCAGTTTGCAGTATATACAATTTATAGTTTCACAAACTTTCAGGAAAAAAAAATTACGAGATAAAAACGGTCAACCAGCTTTTATGAAAAAGTTAAGCACATCAAACGAATTGTTCGGAATAGAATTAAACACGAGTTGGTGACTTGCCCGAAGGGATTACACAAGAATGCCGGCCGTATTCACCGGCGTATAGCGCGGCAATAAAAAAATAAAGGAAAAAATATGATTTTAATTAACCGCCTCTGAAAAAAAATAAATGTAAAAATCAACAGAGTGATATTTTTTTTGCCATACGCCGCGTGTGTAGCGATTAAATAGGGTTGCGAAATTTGCCATGCACATTCTTGTGCACGCACAAAAGATATGTTTAAAATTACCGTTTTCCAGGTGCATATATGGCATGTGCAATACGACCCTCCTGCAGGATAAAACGTCTGTATGAAACGCATTGTAACGTTTTTTTCTCTTTCGCAAGTCCGAGTGAATCGAAAATAGTGTGTCGGCAGCACGTTTGCGCATACGGTTGATAGTATATACTTTTGGTGGTCAGTAATGTTTAATGTTCGCTGATCGATTTGAAAATGCATTATGTAGCAATGACTGTTATAATAATAATGATAAAAATAACTAAACGGTATTATTGTCATTAATTATTATCGAATACAATGGAAAACTATTCAATTTCCTCTGCCCTTCATTTGTTTGTAGCTTTTTGTCAGACGTGTAAAATGAGCGAACGTTTTAATTACTTTGTAGGACTGCCTGTCACTGTGACCCAGAAAAAAATGACAAAAGCCATTCTGATATTATCCCCCCGAAAAAAAAGAAAAAAGAGAAAGAAAGAATAAAAACTCGATAAAGCGTTATATTTTAAACCATATATAACTACTGACCCTCGGCCATTATCCCATAGACTGCACATAGACTCTACACCCACTACAAAGGCTAAACATATTTTCGTTTTAAAGTTATCCAGCATGTTATTATACCATGGCAAATAACTACTTTTAATAATATCATTCAATGTAACACATACGTTTAAGGTTTAACAAAACATGTTCTCGGAAATGCCACGCCGATAACGTTATGAGTTATTACTTATTAGGTACCTACTTATCATATGAAATAATAATAATGAATAATTTTCTGTTAATTATTGTTCAATAAACAATGCAACTGAGGTGGAAGTAATAATATCGTGGTTCCCACCTCAGTTGCGTAACCACACGAAAAAAAAAGTACTTACCGAGTTCAAAAATGTACTCGTATGTTGAGTCTACAGGACAATATCATCTGATCAAAAACATTTGTTTTTTAATTTAACAATAGGCTATACCAACTAAAATGGCAATCGCTGTTTCAATAAATATGATTGACATCTATAAATATTAGTGTTCAATAATTAAAATTATGAAATTATTATGCTGAATATTTTTAGCTCAAAATTCTATTGACAGTTGAAATTATAAAATAATACTATACGGAAGTTTGAACAAAGCATATATTGATTGACAAACTAAAGCATTATATCCTAATAAGTATTTATTAAAAAAAAAAAATTGTAATACGTTTTTCACGTAAAATGTAGGAAAGAATTAAAAAATGTATATTGAGTTACTCTCCGAGTCAAGTTTTTAATTTAATATTTTTTTTTTATCAGAATTAATAATATATCTCAAAATTAGCGTGTAGTTTAATACCTCGATTTAAAAGTTGTGCTCATTGTATTAGAAGATCAATGACATCAAATATAAAATAATATTTAAATTGCATTTAAAATGTAATAATTCCATAGCTACTTATAATTTATAATATTATTACGTATTAGGAACCAATTATAATAATACGCGATGACCTCTGCAGTAATAGACTTCTTTATCTTGGTATATTTAAATTGCTTTTGAAAATAGGTAGATAAATTCAAGCTGGCGCGTATTATGAAAGATATTTCAATAATATTATTTGTAAATTTGTGATCGATTTTTATGGGGAAAACCTTAATAATTTTTTTGCGAACAAATTTACTTATTCGGTAATAGTCGACTTCCATAAAGCTTCGGCTAACCTGTGTAAGGCCGAAATTGTACCTATAAAACTTCATGATATAACGATAAAATATTATGTTATAAAAATGTCTACGTTTTTTCTACCCCCAAAGTATACCACTAACTCTAAACCACAATCAAATATGGATGATGGGATTTTAAACGGGAGTCGTTTATCCTTATATTCGCAGACATCAAACTTCCATGCGCTTCGGGTAAGTTTCATAAAAAAACTTTGGAAATCCGTTTATGTATTTTTTTCGGCTTAAATATTGTTCCGACTATGGGGGAGTATGGGTGGGGGGAGGACGCCGTGACGAGAAGACGCAAGTAGGGTGTTAGGGGATATACTATTATTGTATAATACACTGCAGCATACTAGGCACTACCTTATACAATACAACTCGATTTTCGACGCGGTATAGAAATTAATTCGGGAAAAGGCGCAGCTGCGACGAATGATAATTATCGACGCCGTTAACGACCGTTCGGTCTAACCGTCGTTGCCAAGATAAATTAATTTCGTGGCCGGACGCATTAGAAAACAAAATGCCACAACAGGCGAACAAAATTAAACGCGCGCGGATTAATTTATACAAAGCGATGTGTATCGTTATTGGAACGTTCAACAATATAATATAATGTGTAAGGTCACTAGGTTGATTGGATCAATGATCTCGTATGGCAATAACAATATTGTAATAATATTGTCGTACACTCATACCCGTCTACACACACTATTACTAATGTAGTACAAAATAAATGTTTAAATTTACTGCGTTATAATAACACGATGCGCATTATATTCGGCGACCAGGACGATTATCTTATCTCTCAGTTTTGAATAATATTATCTTAAAATCGCGCGAGCGTGTACATGGTACAATATGTATGTATACATTGTTGTTCACGCGTACGTCATAATATTGTCACAACACTGACATAATAATATAGTGTACGGGAAATGTTATCGAAAAAAATTTACCGCTCAACAATAATAATTATTATATTATAATCGGATAAAATGACATCGTTAGCAAATAAAAATATGCCAAATATTTTTTTTGAATGATATAATAATAATAATATGATTTTTTTTATCTCAGGCTTACGGGCATACGGGAAATAAGCATTTTCGTTTGAAATTGTATATATAGATTCCGTTGTAGAAGTATGGCAGTGTAAAAGTGGTTCGGATTATATAATTTATTACTAAAAAATAATAGAAATAGTAATCAGTTATTGTTTAATTTTTTATATTTTGGCGGCACAAATATAAAGCTCTCAGTCTATAATGTGTTAAATGTGCCCGCGTAGGAGGAGGTAACGCGGTGAAAGTTTCGCTTTCGAGCCGAACATTTGATGTCAAATCACCGCGGGATGTAAGTGTGTTGTGTGTAACATTAGTGTTGACATTTTTGAGTGAGCGATGTATAACATTTTTACAAAAATTATTTTATAACGCTAGGTTTAAACCTAAAATCGATATTTCGGGCAGCGATAACAACAACTACAACAATATGAAAAGCTCAAAATACTTACGAATGACGGGACACGGATGGCCGATCTTGAAGTCCTGCAGACGACGGTCGTGGTCGGAATCGGCGGCGGGCTCAGACTGCGATGAGGACTGTCGCCGCCGCACCAGGACCTGTACGGCACACGCGAGCCAAATGAACGTCGCGGAGTCGTCGCCGGCCGAGTGTGGGGCGCGAGTGCCGCCGAGTGGAGAGAGAACGTACCGGCTGTAATATATTGAAATAAAATATAATAATGTAATGCGGCGCGCGTGCGCACTAGTCAGCGCTAGCGCTGCAACCGGTGGCTAGTAGAGGCGACCCAAAAATAGGGTTGATGGAGGAGAATACAGCAATAATATTAATAACGATAGGTACGATTGTCACGACCAATTCATATAAGAAATGTATTTTGTAATACTATAACGTTTACATATTATGACAATTTTTCCGCGTCACATTTTTTTGGATTTCGTTTGCTCGACCTATCGCTTTAACGAATATATTTGGCGTCGAGAGTGAAACGGTGTACTACCTATGTCTGCGGTTATATTGTGTCGCTATTCCTTGAATATTATGAAAATATTAACACACTCTATACCGAAGACATGGACGGTCGGAGTGACTAGGTCGTGGTAATTTTATTATTGCGATATTGTTATAACTTCCATTATTATTATTACCATCACCATCATCGTTATTATTAATATTATTTATGCGGTGGTTTTTGTACGGGGTATTTAGCTGAACAATGGGTGGTTTATTGTAATATACAGAGGCATTTCGCGGTCAGACTTCGGTTGCCTAATTCAGAGTTATTCGGTTGACGGTTCTCGCAAAACTTGCACTCCTGAAGTGGCGACATCCGACGTTTTTCCGGAAAATTATAAATACCAGTCATAATAATAATAATAATAATGGCATTATTATATCATTATGCAAACGCCTTAACCGTGACCTTAAAATATCTCACTGTAATGTTAGCTCTCTACGTTCTGTATATTATTATTATTTTAGACTTGTGCGCCGTCCTTAAACAGCTCCCTAAACAGTTCCTATTAAAAAAAATATTTACGTTTATGAACAACTTTTGATGTTTCTCTCAATAAACAAAACACAACGAAGTGATATCTTCTTCTCTTTTGTTTCCAACATATTAAGCTACACTTTATTATTTTATTTTTCATATTAAAATGATGAAGCAGTCATAAACTATTATGTTCTGGACTGTTTGAGTACCTACTAAGTTTTAGCCATAGTGCTATAGATTAACTTCTTTGACATCGACAGGTTATGTTGTTATTTCATGGCCAGTAGTCAATACACATAATAATATTTAATAAGCGGACAAGATAAAAACGTGATCTTTTTATTATTTCATTAATCAAATGATTTTTTTTTCTTCCTGGTAATCTAGTTAAGTTAATGAATTGCTTCTCCTCACAAGACGTTTATGTAGGAAGATAAAATCACATACAAATAATAGTATTTTTAATTCTATAATAGTAACATGTAGCATCATTACATGTGATAACTGAAGTAAATAATATTAAAATGTATATAATATAAAGTCAGTACGTTTGTTAAGTAAAATTTAGAAAATTTTAGTTTCGATCTGGCCATACTAACCTTGATCACCTGATGAAAAATTACTACTGTCCCTCCAAAATTGAGGTATCAAGTCACATTAAATTCAATAATTTTATCATAGATACATACTTATACTACAGTCATTTTTTTGTCGATAAACAGTAAATTGTGGTAAAAAGTGAATGGTTTTTGTTTTCTGTTTTGTCAAATATGCAGAATATTACAATGATTAAAAAATCATCTGAACAAAAGAATACTCTGTTTACTAATTAGTAATTTCTTAAATGAAAAGAATGAAATCAATAAGGTATAGTATTAATAATTTGAATGTTAAAATTATTTTTAAATGAGCAAAATTTACTTTATTTATTGGTGCTTATATATTTTATGCGTCGATATAATTTGTTCATAAATTAATTTTATCAATTTATGTGCAAGTACAAGTAATAATAATATTAGTCACCACAATTTTTGGAATACGGTTGAGGGTGGTCAACCGGGGTCGATGACTATGTACCAACCTCAATGAAATCCTAAATAATATGCCACTGCACGTATGCAATATCGATATTGTAATGGGTATATTATGCTAATCTGAGGTGTAAATGCCAACGCACTTGATAATTTAAGATGAATATTTTATTAGAATTTATAACATATAAAAATATTATAAACCATGCATCGTAATTTATTCTAATTTATTTATTTTTTATTAGTTTTGTGTCACTTTAGAATTTTATTTTATATTGGTAGGTGTTACATAAAAATGAAGAAAAAAATTATTCTCATTGACTTGTAATATCGGTTATATAATAAAATATCAATAATATAATATTTTACTTATTTTGGATACGAAAGAGTATGAGACACGCGAATCATTATTATGACGAAATTGACACCAAGTTGTAAATTGAACAGAACATTAGGTATTAGATTTTGATTTCTAGACATAACCATTTAATATAATGTATATTTTGAATACAATTAAGTTAATCGGATTTAATAACGCGTCACGGATGGTGTATACTTATTTTTGTTCTTTACATTTAAAAATCTATTTCAAGGCTGATTTCGGAATCTGATTAATATTTTCTCGCTAAAAATGATTATTGATAACAATTAACAATTGCTAGTAATTGTTTGACGATTATCTTTAAATGATTAAATGGGCTAAATTATACGATAATATTTTTTTAGCTTTTAAACACATAATATATTAATTCCATAGCAAAATGATACAATTTAAGTTCTATTCATTATAATAATGATATTATATTAATTATATTATAATTTACATATTATAGTCTGAAATTCAAAATTTTTTAATTAAAAAATAATACCATAGTTAATTGTTTTATAATTATAAAGTCATGCTTACTGTTTGATTAGCATGGAAAGATTTACAAAACGTTTATTTTATACAATACGTTTAAATTGCCACATTCTGTTTACCATAATATTGTAAACTATAATTTACTGTTTACCATATTTTTTAGAACAATGATAAAATGCCTTTAAAATCGTAAAATGTATAAACATTTGAATTAAACTTTGTGATACCTATGTAAATCGTGAACACGTTTTCTCAAATATTGGATTAAGTTTTATATTTGTTTAAGTGTAGTTACAAAAAGTTTGTCAAGTATAATACCGAGTGTAATTGTAATTTAAACCTTAAAGTTTAAGCAATTTCTCATATATATTTAAAGTGATAAATTGGTTCTTACTTTTTAGAACGACCAATAACACAAGTATACAATTCCTCGTTTTTTAAATATTTGTACAATATTTTGATAATATTTTTATTTTTATTTTTTGTCAATATACCTCAACTACAACTAGTTTGTCGTAAATTGGTTATTATATAATCTAAAATACTTGTCTATACTAATCACGCGATGGCGTAGATCGTTGTCGTGTGCAATGCACATATTTTTGTAATGACGTTTTCGTTATACTATGGCTCTAATAAAATTATAATTTTTTTTATTTATTTTAAACATTTTTCATCACTGATAGACGTGTCTTTGAGAGTTTGTAATGAAAATTGTCGTCAGCTGGTGTTGTGTTGAGATGGACAAATAAAAAATACCATATTTTGAGAACACTGTGTCTGTGTATAGAATATAGATCATAACTAAATTCTAATAGTATCGTAATCGTATAGTAGTCGTGTTTTAGATACGTTTTTATTTCTTAAATCGGATGAAGATTTTTGAATTACTTTGTAGGTTTATATCATCAATATTGACATACGTCTATAGCTCAGGCACACATATAATATCTTGGACAAAGCTATAAGAGTTCATATTTATATGATGATTATAACTCATAAGTGTATTCTGCAAAAAAAAAAATCATGTAATCAGTTATAGTAAGCTGTAAGCAAATATAATATCCACTTTAATAATTTGGACGTATCTTTCGACACTAGATGATAAAATTTTACAATATTGTTTTTCTACGAACATTAATACCTACCTAGGTCTAACATTCAAAATTTAATTCGTTATTATAGATAGGCAATTAAAACTTTTTGAATGGTAAACTATGTCTTATATTAATTATTATAAGCAACGCATTTTCTACAAACTGACGAAACTTTAAATAATAAATTAAAATCATCTCGTGCGTGTTCACATATTTTTATATAAATATCTACTATACAATATTTATATATTTAATTTTTTTACGGGGCCATACTTAGGAGGGGCGAAATGGTAGAGGGTGGAATATTTATGGAGGGTGATCCTGGAAATATTACAACTACAAAACGATTGTAAAGTAGGATGTTTAAAAGACAAAAGAAGAGAATGTTAAATTCACAATCCAAGCCTTGACATTTACAGTAATAAGATATTTAAATAAAAAAAAACTGATAAAAAAATTATAATAGCGGTACATTATATTATTATGTTATTCAATTTAGAGTGAATTCTCGTGGCTGCAACTGAAATATGTGCTTAATCGCCGTTTGTTAAACGAAAAAATGAATGCTATATAGTACTGAAAAGAGGGTAGGGGAGCAGTATTTGTTTGTTCTGGTTGATAAAATTCTAAATGCGGACCACTTTTTTATACATTGTACATAATTTTATATTACACTCTACTCAGTAGTCAGTACTCAATAATAATATTGTCTTAAGATAGTAGCCCACCATTATATTATGGAGTTGCTGTTGTTGAGCCATACTATACGAGTATAATGTTATAATAATAATATATTATTTTATATTGTAGCTACATAGTATTTACTATTTTGTATGTTCCATAATAGTATACTGTCATAATATATGTGGCCCAGTGGCGAAGCCGCCAAGGTCTAAACAATTGACCCCATGCGGGCGATGGAAGATTGAACTTTATTTCGGGCAGATTGAACAGTATATAATAATAAGGGCGTCGGCCGTTTGAGTGAGCGTGACTTTTTTACCCTAAAATGGTAACATGGAACATATGAGCTAAATTTTCTAGCTCTTTCGAGCACGGATATACTTTCTACCTCAGAAATACTATATATAGGCCAGTGGTTGTTTCCAACATGTGGTTATTAGGTCAAGTGATACTTGAACAATTTCAAAATGTGTAAGTGGTACGCAGATATAAAAAGGTTGAAAACCGCTGATATAGGTAATTTG